GAAAGCAAAGCAACACAGACATCAGTTCGTGTGACTATGTTTAGGTGTAAGGTTTGTAGGGTTTAGGGTTTAGGTGGGGTTTACGGGTTTCCAGGTTCAAGGGTTTAGGGGCCCTGATCAAACTAGACGCTTGTGTGAGGGCATATGCATCAGAAAAGTGCTTCGGCATGTGCCAACCATACTTGCATCATCTTCCATCAACTTCTTGAAACCCATACACTAATCAAGCCCTGATCCCTTACTACTGCTTGAACATTCACACGCAGTCATCAGCAGATTGCAAGAAGCTCCGTGTCTTGCGGCTCCTGGGTAAAGCTTCGGGGATCTTACCCTCCATCCACTCAGACATCCATGCACTTCCTCCTGAACCCCTTGGAGAACCCTGAACCAAACTGAATCCCATAGTATCTGCCATAGAATGACCGAAAGCCCCCTGTTACCCAAACCCTACGCCGGCCTCTTGTTGCCGAACTGCTGCAAGGCTGCCTCCCAAGCCACCCGCTTGTTCACGTCCATGTGATACTCCTTGGATTTCGGCTCGGGGCTTGCAAGCTCTTAAGCCCTTTCCATGGCCTGACATGTTTGCCTCCTACATGGCTGAGCGCATGGCCTGACATAGCTCTTTTTTGTTTTGAACTCCTTTCTCCACCTAATACTGAAGCTCTTAAGCTCCAGAGCTTGGTGTTTTCTGGCTCCCAGGCTTCAGGGTTCGAGCTGGCTGCGAAGAGCTCTGCTCAAAACCGCAAGTTAGAGGCTACACTTCATGAGCGCACGGCCTTGAAGCCCCCTACCCCGGACACAGGCTCTGAAGCCCGGAGGCTTCCAAGCTCTCAAGTCCCTGCAAGCTCTCAAGTCCCAAACCCCAGGACACCGCAAGAATTCCGCACGAATCTGCCAATCGCAGCAGGTTCTCGTTGTCAGCCTCCTCCTCGCCACTCTCGCCCTTGTCCTTGGCTACGAACTTCAGGCTTGTGGACTTCGGGCTGGGGGCTTCAAGCCTTTCCTGGTTCATGTTGTGTAAGTTTGGGACTTGGGGCTGGGGACCCTGGAGACTTGGGACGTTAGGAATCCGTGTTCAAAGCATCAGAAGTTCAGGGCTCTGGGGCTTTCCGGACGAAGGCTTCGGAGGCGCAATCACGTGGCCTCAACCTAGGGTTTATGCAATCGGTATAGGGTTTGGGGTGTAGGGTGTCCGTGGCCCCAGTAAAATAACATACGCGCATCTGCAAAGCATGGGCAGGGTGGAGTCATACTGGTGAAGCTTCAAACCTAGTACGGGCGTTCGTTTGCAGTTCCTACTTTGAAAACCTAGAGCAAATTCTGAGCCAACACCAGCCGAATCTCTTGGGCATCATCCAGCTGCTGCTGGATGTGCGTGATGATCCACAGGGCCTGGACGTGATGGCACCCATACGAAGACCAGATTCCCGGAAGCTAACTTCCAAGCTGTTGAGCGCAGGGCTAACGAGCGCGGCATAACAGCAGCCTATGCAGCGTCTTTTTCGCACAAGTGCTGCTGAGCGATTGGAAAGAGTACTCTCGAAGTCCAGGTGCATCCGAAGAAACATCGACAAATCCGCGCAGGCTGCAGGAGGTAGTTCCAGTTTCAAGACAGTACGGCAACGGCCATCCTAGACAAACCCGACACCACACGCTAAGCTCCCAAAGGCAGCTGCCTTGGTGGTGGCAGGCAGCGTAGACTGCTCCGGTGTCCCGTGGAAAGACAAGTGGCCTTGGAGAGTGTTGAGATTTGGGGTGTCGGGCTGGCGATTTGGAGTTTGAGGCTTCGCGCTTGGTTGCGGCGGGTAAGTCGTGTTCTGCTGGCATACGCCTGAGAGCTTGGGAACTTTGAGATTCAGCGTTAGGGCAAGTTTGCAGCATCTACGGCTCTGAGATATGATGTGCGACAGCCCCACACTCACTGAAGCGACGACTTCCAATAGATGGGCCGAGCGGCCCAAACCCATCCGCAACACAGACTCGATGAAGGCCTGGGGCACAACGTCTGCATGCTTACATGTGTATGTGTATATGTATGTATATATATATATATATACATATATATATACATATATATATATATATATATATCTATGTGTGTGTGTGTGTATATGTATAAAGATGCGTGTGTTTGTACATGTTTATGTTGGTATGTACGTATGTATGTACGTATGTACGTATGTACGTATGTACGTATGTACGTATGTACGTATGTATGTATGTATGTATGTATGTATGTATGTATGTATGCATGTATGTGTGTATGTATACATGTATATATATATATATACATATATATTTATATATATATATAAATACATCATTGTGCAAGAAACAACTGACGGACTAAACCGCTGATCTTCCCCTTTCTTCAGCCCTAGCTCGGAAGGCCTCGTGCCGTGCACTGATGCTAGTTATAGAGGGACTGCTTTAGGGTGTTTTTTGCTTCGGGGCTCCATGGATTTGCCCAGGAACACCGCCGCTATGCGTTAGGGTTTAGGCGTTAGGGTTTAGGGTTCAAGGTTTAGGGAGAAAACTAATATCCACCACTACAGGCTGGGGTCTCCCCCAAACTATTAATCACCCATCTGCGGTAGTGGCTACAGGTCAGGGTTCATGGGTGTCGGGGCTTGGAGGGTTCAGGTTTGAAAAAGTTTAATAGATAATAGAGGCTTAGGATCTCAAATTGTTGATTTGAGGGTTTAGGGTTCGGGGGGTATTGCCTAAAACCTTCGATGGCGGTTTCGACCCTCACTCTTGGCAATGTTTTGGGGGGTGCAGAGCTCTGCAGGTCATACAGTAGAACCATAAACCCTGAACCCTTTCAGCATGGACCCGAAACCCTGAAACCAAAACCCTAAACCGTGTCAGTAGGGGAAGCCCCTCAGGGTTTCAACGGTCAGGGTTCGGGTTTGGGGTCTAGGGTTTAGGGTTTAGGGTTCTGGGTCTAGGGTTTTGGGTTTAGGGATCTGCCACCATCTTCGATGAAAAAAGCTACCTGCAATAAGCGCTGAGGCCCTGCACTTCCAAAGACCCAAGCCCCTGAAATCGAAATCCTTTTAGGGCTTAGGGTTTAGGGTTTAGGGTTTGGGGTTTAGGGGATGGAGGGTGCTGAAACTCGGGGTACAAATCCGAAGCCCAGTTGCACGGATGAGCATACGAGAAAGGCCAGAACCCGGGACCCCAATTCCCATTCAGCATACCACCTAAACCCCAGCTAAATCCCAAACCCAACCCCCTAGACCCAATCCCTAAACCCTTTCTCTCCTAAACCCAAGACCCCTAACCTCTCAAATCCCTTACCGCCAATCCTTTGAAGGGGCCCCCGTAGGCACGGCCGGGCCTTGAGACCAAAACAAGAAATCTTGTAGTTCTTCTCCTCTGACTCACCCGTTTTGTCGGGCGCTTTCTAGGACTTGTTGACTTTGCTATGGTCTTCTGTCTGGTGCTTAGTAGGGAGTGGGGGAATGGATCCCTATGATTGTCCCTTAAGGTCCCTTATAGTAGTCCCTATAACCCATTCCCCCATTCCCTACTAAGCACCAGACAGTCTTTAGGACGTTGGTGTGTCGGGACGGTAGTGCTCCATGCTGTTAGTGTTTAGGGGTAGGAGGTTTTGATTTGGTGCCATAAAATAGTTGGCATATGTATACTCTATGTGATACATAAACATATAACATAAGAGTAAGAAAGTATAAAGTAATATCGTATAATGCAATATACTATAACATCATATCATATATGATAGAATAGGATAAAAATCAAATAGTTTAATATAATGCAATATTATATTATATTATGTTATATAGTTCTATACATATATATATATATATATAATTGGGTTGCATGTTCAGGCTGCGGGCATTCTTTGGCTCCAGCGTTGCAGTGACAAACCCACTGACGGGGCTGGTCAAGCTGGTTTAGGCTTCACGGTTGAGGGCTTAGGCCTCACGGTTTAGGGTTTAGGCTTCAGGGTTTAGGAGGGTTTAGGATTCAGGCTTCAGGGCTTAGGGTTTAGGGTTTAGCGTTTAGGCTTCAGGCTTCTGGGTTCAGGGTTTCGGGTTTAGACTCTCGCAACTCGGACGATCCAGAAGCTTCAGGGATTAGGGTTAGTTATTTCGAGGTCAGAAAGCTCACGGTTCAGGATTTCGGGTTCAACGTTCAGGAGCTGGGGATGTGGATCAAGGATTAGGGATTCAGAGTTGCAATATGTCTAGCACAGCAAGGTAACGGGCGAACTATGCCACTGCGCCATGCTCCTACTACTCGTTGCGATGACTTGTAAGCTGACTCGTAAGCTAGGCTCCCGTTGCAGGAACAGTGCCTTACGATCTGGACATTAACTGATCCAAGTAAACCGCTTCATATCCCCACCCAGATTTCCCAGGGGCTGAAACGCTAACCATGATTCCTGAGCGCTGGATCTGGGCCTCAAAGCCTAAACCCGAACTCCTGCTGTCTTTCCCTAAACCTTAAACCCCAAACCCTAAACCGTATTTAGCGCTTGCGGCTCTGGGCCTGGGGCTCGCTGTCAAACGTTTTGCGTCCCGCTTCTTGCTGAAAACATGCAGGCTCGGGCCACTAGGCACGGCCTCGGTTGCAAGCCTTCAGAAGGGGGTTCGTTGATTTAAGGCTTAGAGTTTAGGTTTGGGGTTTTGAGTTAGGGCTGATGACTTGGCTTGGGGTTTGGGGCTAAGGGGTTCTTGTCGAGGGTTTAGGATTACCGACATCTCTACCACGGCTTCTCCTCGGACTTGCTATCGACTTGCGCTTGCTTGGCAAAAGGGTTGGCGAGCTCCTGGCAAGGTCTCGAACTTGGTTCAGGGAATATGTTTATTTACATATATACATATATAATTATAATAATAGTAATTATTATTATTATTATTATTATTATTATATATTGCACTTAAAATAATATAATAGTATAAGGTAATAATATATTTGAAAGGATATCTAGACGTTAAACGGTTTATCTAGCTACGACACGGGACCCTCAAGATTAGCCCCGTGCACATCTTGGACATGAGGGGTGGAGGGAACAGGAAAGTAATAGCTGAAGTGCTGGCGAGAGGAAACATCCGGGCCCGAAGCGGGGGAACAGACGCGGAAAGAGGGGAGAAAGTGTGACAGAGCTCTGCCACTATGAGAAAGGTAGACAAGGAGAGAAGGACAAAGTCAAAGATGGAGAGAGGTAGAAGGGCCCAGAATTGCCCAGAGTCAGACAGGAAGAGGCGAAGCGCTAGAGACGCAAAGACACAGACAAAGAAGCAGGTCACCCCCAACGCTCAAGCCACGGATGGACTGAATCATTAGAACAGGGTTTTTGGGGATACTACCGTGTTATAGTAAAACTGTTCTTTGGACTTTTAGGGGGCACTAACCCCTGCAGTATTATCTCAAGGGAGACAAGCTCTCCCCTGCTTTGGGGTTTACGCTCTCGCTCCTCGGGTATTTAGGGTATTCTCACTGTGTTTACGATTAGTTGCGACCATTTAGGTTTCCATACTCGTAGACATTCCGAAGCACTGGTTCGAACCGCTGTGCTTTGTGATTTAGGGATGAAGGACGTAAGCCTAAGCGGCTTAGGTTGTTTCGTCTTGGCGTTTAGGGCTTGAGGTGGTACAGCTTCCAGTCTCGCAGTCGTGCAAGGCAGGTATTTCTTCACGACAACTGCTCCATCCCGCTACTTCGAAGACGGCTGGGATCGGCTTTAAGGTTCGTGGGGCTTCGGGCTTGGAGCATGCGTGCGCTTCCCCGGAATCCTCCTTCTTCTGCGCCTTGGTTCAGCTGGCTGTCGGGCATATTGCTATGTTACAAACGTTTGTATCTTGCTACCTTTTGGCATCATGGCAATAACAACTACTGCGACTACCCGGTCGTCTTTTTGTGCTGCTGGATCTTAGGGGTCTGAGTTTAGGGGCTTTGGGTTTAGGGTTTAAGGTTTTCCCATTCAAGGTTTAGGGTTTAGGGTTGTTGTTGCTCTTCCTTTCATGCCTGAGGCTTGATTCTCGGAACAAGGGAGAGGAAGGGCTTTTGGGCTTAGGTTTAGGATTTGGGATGTGGGGTTTAGTTAGGGTCCAGGGGCTCAGGGTTTAGGGCTTAGTAGGGTTCAAGTTTAGGATTTGGGATTTGGGGTTTAGGGTTGAAGGGCTTCGGGTTAAGGGCTTAGGGCTCAAGGTTCGGATTTTGCATTTTTTTTGCACGACCCTTTTCCCCTGCCGACAACATGTCCCCAGGATGCCCTAAGGATTTGGGATGTCGGGTTTCGGGTGGAGGAGTTCGGGATCTGCTCCACCCCGCGATCCCGTCACTGCTTTACTAGCACCAGACTTGTGACGTCAAACAGCCAGCTCAAGTAGGTACGGTTCCCAGGGGTCGAAGTCCTTGTTGTCTTCGCTGAAACTAAACTGCTATCTTACTCCACCCCGTGTCGCTTGCGCTGTGGGAGGCCCCAAAAACGTTTATATTGTTGTTGAACGGGCCCACAGTTATTCCTCAAAAGGCACCTCTACAAGACCACAGACGGAAACTAAGAAGTATCCCCTTAAGTAGTATCCCAAACCCGAACAGTTCAAAACACAACAACAAAAAGAAACCCAAATGTGCCTGCTAGGTTTTGAGCCGATGGCCAAGGACTTCTTGCAGCCAAGTCGCCCTCCGATTTAGAAGATCCATGCGAACCTGGCATGCTGTCTAACGAGGACGATGTGCAACTATAGGGGCGTTAATAAATCAAACAGGATATTGGGATATGTGGTAGTATAAATGTGGTCAGGAAATAAGGAGTAGTATGGGCCATTATTCAGGCTTCCATATGACAGGAGTTTCAGAGACCAGCGAGACCTGGTGTGTAGCCCATCGTGTAGCTATAATCGCTGCACTCATGAAGAACCTGCGCCATAGGAGCAAAAAAATACAGACCATAACTCCGAGAAGATGACTGGCTAATATGAGAAATAGGCGGTGAAGTTTATTTAATATCGTGAAGCCAGATTGGTTTGAGAACCTTTCACGTAGTCAAGGCCATTCTGAGAAGTAACTAGCTTCCACGGGTTCCGGGACCGGCGATCGGGGGTGTGTTGCTTGGGGGTTTACGGCGATGGCACGGATGCGCAACCCTATCTGACAAACAGTCAGCTGCAGACTCTAGGTTTCCGGTCCAGGAAGATGAGGGGGGAGCCTCTGAACCCGGCTTGCTTGCTGGATCGCCCTAAAGTGACCGCACCGCCCGAACTGCCAAGAAAGCGGACTGCTGAACCCATACTTACCCAGCAATTCCCGCAAAAGCATGACATCCCTAACACCCTGCTTGAACCCCCAAAACCCTTTTTCGGATATTCGGGTTCAGAGTTAAGGGGAGACCCTGAAAAATAACCCAGCCCTGCATCTCCTTGAAACCCAGTGCTGCGTCGGCTGCCAGAATCGTTGCCATGAACCAGCACACAAGTAAGAGGTTCTTATAATTAGGAGTCCCGGCGTGGGGATCTTTACACCGTAGGGATCTTGAAACGCTTTGACAGAGACTCGGCTTTCCGTGCCTTCACGAAGTTCATCACTTTCATGAGCTCTTCGGGACTGATGGCGCCGTCGAGGTTGGCATCGAGGAGCATCATAGCACCTTGCAGGAAATGCTGTGGGGGTCCTCCTGCAGGGCTGAGGGCTAAGGAAGTGACTCAAGGTTTAGAGTCGGGGTTTACGGGCTCGGGCCTGCCTCGCAAAATTTGGTGTTTCGATTCCCCCACACCGCTTCCCCTTAAAGCCAACTGCAGACAACCCCTTCTTTTCGCAGGCGCGGAAGCCCAAACCCAAGATCTGTTCAATACATTGTGACCTTACGACCTGAGCCTAGAGACCCAGGGAAGAATAAGCCCAGAACTCCTAAATCACTTCACATGCAAAGCCTGATAACCTCAAGCGCATACAGCCGGAGCCGTAGTGAACTGGCGATGCAGTTCTCCTACCACCCCTGGCTTCAACAAGCATTGTCCAATGCCTTAGTCTAGTGGTGTTGAACAAGCATCCGATGTCTAAACTTCCAGCAAGTCCCTAGGGAACAAGAAACCTCGAGCATTCTGAAAGCGCTGACCAAGCCCCGCACCCTAAACCCTTTTTTGAACGAGGTCTCTCTGAAGTGCACCCCAACCCTCAAACCTAAACCGACAGGCCCAGGCCTCTTCCCCAAACCTCGCCTCCCCCCCCCCCCCCCC